GTCATTCGACTCAGCTCGTCGAGCTCTTTCGAATGAGGTATTATTTGTATAAAAAATTTTTTAGTCTAAAAATCGCCCTTTTGAATCTTCGGTTTTTGGGGGTCCATATCTCGGTCCAATCAAGTCGGATTTCGTTGATTTTGGTGTCATTCGACTCAGCTCGCGGAGCTCTTTCGAATGCGCTATCATTCAAAAAATCGATTTTTCCACCCCAAGATTGAGCTTACTCCCCCCTATGGTTTTTCGATATTCGGGGACCTATATCTCGGTCCACAGGCGTTTCCGCACCCTGGGAGTGGTACCATTCGACTCAGATCGCCGAGACGAATCGAATGGTATATATTTCGAATTGGTTTCAAACCGGCCACCGGCTAAATTATATCCTTTTTGAATGATAGCTCATTCGAAAGAGCTCATCGAGTTGAGTCGAAAGACAACAAAATCACGGTGATTGGACAAGTTTGGGCCGAGATATAGGGCTCGAAATGGTCAACGTAAACCTATGGAGCGTCAGCGAGGCGCTTGTGCAAAACTCCGCGCTTCGCGCGGAGTTTTGCAGCACGCGCCTCGCGGGGAGTCTACAGTCGCTGGGTTCTGGGCTCGTAACTTAATCCTATTCCTTTTTACCGATTCTCAGCCTTGAATGCCGACCTACTCTCCGAAGCAACACCAAAACAGTTATTCAAGCGAAAATTGAATTGTTCATAATTTTGTTCAGAATGATCGGATCGAGCTGATTTTGGTGTCATTCAACTCAGCTCGTCGAGCTCTTTCGAATGAGCTATCATTTGTATAATCGAATTTTTGACCCCAAAAATCACCCCAGAAATTTGACCATTTCGAGCCCTATATCTCGGTTCAAACTCGTCCAATCACAGTGATTTGGGTGTCATTCGACTCAGCTCGAGGAGCTCTTTCGAATAAGCTATTATTCAGAAAATCGATTTTTTCACCCCAAAAAAGTGCTTACTCCCCCCTTTGGTTTTTCAAATTTCAGGGACCTATATCTCGGTCCACAGGCATTTCCGCACCTGGAGAGTGGTACCGTTCGACTCAGCTCGCCGAGACGAATCGATTGACATATCATTTGTCCCGGTCGGTGCAGGCCCTCGACTAAACTACAGCCAAAAATTTATTTTTAAAATGTTTTGTTGTGTAGAGCAAAAATTTAGTTTTAAACAAAAAAATAATTTTCCCTATAAAAAATCATTTTACCCGTCCTAAAAAAAGAAAGCCTGCAAAGAGAAAAGCCCCCAGTGCCGATCAATATATTTATTTCGTTAAATGAAAGTTTCTCTTTTCAATAATACCAGTTGAGTAGCAATTTTGGGCGGGGGGTAACTCGAGTAAATCCCACTCGCGGAACAGACACGACGCGGAACGACAAGTCACAGAATTACCAAATCTCGGACCGGCAACTCAAGGAATATTTTATAAATCGATATATTTTTACAAATCCGAATTTTTTAACCTCCCTTGTTTAAAATATTCTAATTTCTTTAAAAATTCTTATTTTTTAAAAATATTCAGATTTTTCAAAAAATTCCGATTTTTAATATATTCCGTGAATTGACCTGTCCCTGATTATAACAAAGGGTTTATGTTAACTAAATAATCTATTTTAGTAAAGCTTCCCTGTGGCTGAGTCGGTAGTGTCTCCGCCTTTAGGCTAGGAGTCACCGGATCGACTCAGCCACAGGGAACTTATTTTTAATAATGGTATTTTGACATGTGGTGTTTTGTCCTGTACCATTTTGTCGCATAGTATTTTAGACAGTGACAAAAGGTATAGGATTAGTCATCACAATTCTATTTTCTAAGCACGTCCCTTCAAGGGCGGGGCTTAATCAATCGATAATTAAAGAAGGATGTTAATGTAGTTAATTATTATTTGTAAACAAATAATTAACTTTAAATATATTATTACTTTACATAAATAATTACTTTAAATACATATGTATAGGCGCTGCTTACGACGAAGAGTTTCAGCCTAAAAAATTTGTTAATATTATTTACGTTATGTTGAATAGCTTATGTTAATTTTCACATTAAAATAGAGAATTCTGAATTTTTTAAATATTTATAGACTGAAATGTGAATCATTTAATTATAGACATTTTTCTTAATTTAAAACTATTTCTAATACCTCAAAAATTATTTTTTATAAATTTTTTAAATTAATTTAAGTATTTAATTAATAAACAATATAAAATTTATATTTCCAGTTAACTTTTTCACAATTATCTTTTTTTGAGCAGAAATGATATGTATATTGAGTAATTGTCGCATTCGACAATATGATTTATTTCGCTACATGTTGTTTGTAGTTTATTTTAAGTTTCTAAATGCCTTCTTAATTTGTTTGGCGTTGCAGACTCTTATAACTCATTTGGTATTTTTTTATTCAAATAAATTTTTAATATATCTGCGATCATTTCTATTTGGGTTATAGTAAGAGCCGACATTATTCTTCAAACATCGGATTAGATTATTGAATTTTATAATATCATTATATTTTATTATCGTTAATAAAAAGTTATTAAGTAGTTAGTGTTTTTTCACGAGTGAGTATTTTAAAGATGACTTCTTAAAGAGATACGGGATAACGGTCTCTTCTACCTATATCAAACAACAAATCTCGAAATATGCGGCATAAGTTTAATTAATAAGGAAAAGAATTAAAAATATTGAATATATTTTTCAATAATTCTTTAAATTTAAATGTATTTAAATAAATTCGATCACTTGTTTCTCACAAAGGTTCCAATTCACGCTATTGTATAATATTTACATTTATACTTATAATTTCTTTTTTAAATTTTTTAAATATTAGATTTTTTATTCTATTTTATTACCATATTATTTTTAAAAGATAAACTTTGTCGATAGGAGTTAATTTTATCATTTTTATATTTTTATTAAATATATTTGTTTGAATATTTATGGTTTTTTCAACACTAAAAATTATTTTGTGATTGCTGTATGTATTGTTGTATGTATTTAAATATAGTGCTGAAGAAAATAATAAAAAAATAAAATCTCAAAATCTCTCTCTCTCTCAATAAAATCTCAGCTTCTTGAAATAATTATTTTTTAAGAATAATTTTTTAATTCAATCCAACAAAACTTGCATAGATTATTTATGCATGCTTTAAATTCTATATAATTTGTAATATTTTATTTCTTCAAATAGCTTGGTTGAAATTTTTTTCTAAATCTCTAGTTTTTTACTTTCTATCCAGCGGATATAATTAAATATGTTTTAAAATAACCACAACAGTAGTCATAGGTAGGGGCATGTCGCGGGCGACTTTTTGACTTTTAAGCCAAATCCTTTTGATTAGTTTTGACTTAAGGTCAGATCCTTTTGACCGGCTGGACAAAGCTCAAACCTTTAGCGTACGTTAGTGCGGCAAAAGCTGACCTCCCTCTCAAAAGCCGCTACCTATAGGAGTGAGAGAAAATCAATGTCGCGGCATCATCCTGCTCCTTTTTCTTCTCTTCCCGATCCTCCCCCACCTCTTCTCTCTCCTTTTCTCTCTTCTTTGGTTAAAATTTAGGATAAGAGAAGGGTTGGGGAGGATTAGGACTCAACCGACTCTTTTATTGACACTATCTTACTTATTTGATCCATATTTAGAGAAACAATTATTTTTTCATCATTTCTTTTTCCCGCACATTTATCTTTTTCATAATATTTAAATTTTTAGTGAAACAAAAATTTCCTTTCAAAAATGGATCCTTTTGAAATTTTTAATGTTAACAACAACCAAAATACCAACAACAATAATATTTTATGGAGAGGTAATTTTTTAAATTTAGGCATTAAAAAAATTTTAATTTTTAGAGCGTATCTTCATTATTTTAATTCTGATTTTCATTGTCCAAACTGGACACTTCTTTACTTTTTTTGTTGCATTGATGAATCGATGAGGTGGCTGGAAAACATTTTTTATTAAAATATTTTTTTATCAATTTTTTGATATTTTTGAATAATTTATTATATTTATTATTTTAAATAAAAATTTTTCTATGAATGTCTTTTTTATGAAAGAGAAAAAAGAGAAAGGGATAAAGTTATTTTGTAAAACGATTGTGTAATAGGTAGGAAACATATGGTGAGATATGTAAATTAACCCTGTAAGTTTCAACTGGCAGGAAGAAATCATTCATTTTTAAAATTATTAAATGTCATTTTATAAAAATGTTTTTATAAGGTTTTTATTTTATTCTTTTAGAATGAATTTTTCATATTCCGAATGGGTGTTAGAGAATTGTACCTTTTGTACAACTGATTCTAACTGTATTAGACCCGCAAAATTCAAATACCCTATTCTTTGCCTTTCTAAAAAAATTGGAATTAAAAATTTTAATAATTTTATTGAACATCCTCCGGAGCTGGAGACTTCTCTTTTTTCAATTTATTTGCTTTTGTCTGTAATTATAGGCTTACAGGTTCTTCATAAACACAAAATTTTATTTTTGTATTTTTATAGTTAATTCATCTTGTTTATCTGGGTCTTAGTAAGCTGAAAAATTACCGTGCTCGAGTCTCTCGTCGCCAGCAAATTAACCGAGTCCGATCAAACTATGGAGGTTACTAATTTTAATATTAATCATTAATAAATAATAAATTTTAGTTTATTCGTCTCCAACAATCACAGCACCATTTACGGTGGCGCCAACTCTTCAGAGATCGCGCTTTTAGAGTGAAGACGATGAAGAGAAAAAACATAGGATTAAATAAAAATTCTATATTAAAAAATTATGTAATAATCTAAATAAATAAATAAATTTTATAAAACTTTTTTTTCAATTTATTTAGAGTTTCTAGGATAGTTATTAAGTTGAGTTAGGTTTTGTTTCTTATTCTTTTGAGTTCTTTCAATAGGTTTAAATTTTAGGAGTATTTTTTGTGGGAGGAGTCATTAAACTTTTTGTCTACCTCAGGATGGAGTATTTAAGGAGTGGATTTTCATTCTCTCTAATCATTTCTAAAAATGGCACTAAATTTAAAACACCTATTTACACAAGTTCTCCCCCAAGTTGATTTCAATATCACCTCGTGCGGGATAACAATTTTGAGTCCCAGACTCACAACTCCTCGTTTAATCCCATACGATCAGGCCGGTCGTTGCAAGGAGTGCAAGAGTACCGAGGTTGAACTTGACTTTATTGTAACAAAGGAGGGTGTTACGATTTATTGTACCCGCCTAAGTTCCGGTTCACGATTTGTGCCTTTTGATTCAATATATGAGTTGCCCACACATTGCTTCTTCAAAGTTAAGAATAAAGGGAGAGTGTTTAATGTACCACATGGCTTACAAAATCAGCAAACTATACATAATACACCAAATTCAAAGAGTGGGAAAAGGAAATTTGATGAGTTGTCTCCTTCTACTACTCTTGCTCCTCCAACTAAATATTTGACTTCTCCTCCCCGTCAGGTTTCTCCTCCGCCTACTCTCGCTACTAATTTACCTTCTCCTCCCCGTCATATTTCCTATGCTTCGCTTATACCTTCAGATGATTCTCCTCCTCGTCCTGATACACCTCCAGAAGAAGTTCCGTTTGAGAAGGAGCTCCAGGAATTTTATGATAGTTTAATGGCAGCTACTACTGGATTAACGTCATCTCCAAAGAAGATGGAAGAGAAGGTTGAGAAGAAAGAGGAAAAGGATGATACAAAAGTTCCTATATAAACTTTAGTTTTTTTTTTCTCGTAAAAATTTTTTAATTATGGAATCACAATCATTTTCTAATAAAGACTTAAAACTTAAGTTGCCTTTTAGTATGATTTTGTCTGGGCCAAGCTCAAGTGGGAAGAGCTCATTCCTTCTAAAATTTATAGCTGATTCACAGGATTTGATCGAACCCAAACCAAAAAGTGTACTATATTGTTTTGGAGAGATGAGCAATAATATCCCGATCCTCCAAAAATCAGGAGTAAATGTTTACGCAGGAGTTCCTCCTGAAGACTTGATAAAAAAGTATCCAAAACCCTTGCTACTAATTCTTTATGATTTGCTTCTATCTATAGATGAAAAATATCTTTCTGAGCTATTTACAAAAAAGTCTCATCACCAAAATTTTGCAATTGTTTTTGTTACCCAAAACCTATTTGAAAAAAAAATTAAGGTTGCGCGACAAAATGCCCAATATATTGTTTTAATGAGGTCTCCAAACTCTGCACTCTCTGTAAGAAATATTGGAGTACAACTATTTCCACGTCGGTTAGACTATTTCCTCGATGCGTATAAACAAGCAACTAATGAACCATATGGTTATCTGCTTATTGATTTGCATGCATCCTCAGACCCATCTCTAAGACTCAGAACAAACATATTTAAGGACGATGAGGATAAGATAATTTTCATATCTAAAAATGTTTAGCCAAATAATTTGTGAAAATAAAGATTTTTTACGTTCTCTAGCGCATACAAAGTCTGAGAGAAGAAAACGTCATATATTAAAAAGAGCAGACACAAATCAATTATTATCTATAGTTGAAATTTGTTTAAATATAGTAAAATCTCGTTTCAAGCTTACTACTCGTCAAAAGAAACGTTTGATACCTCATGTAGATTTTATTCGTCAAATAAGCCGTGCTAGGAGTGAACGAGGAGTAAAAAAAGTTTTAAGACAAAAAGGAGGAGGGATTGGTGTTTTTGCCGCGCTCTTTACTCCTATTCTTCTAGAGCTTGCTCGTTCGATGGTATAAAAGCTTTAGAAATATTCAATCTAAACAAAAATGGCAAACAAATTCATATTGGTTCCCGAAGAGATTTATAGAGGACTGACCTCACATAATATTAGTGAACCAAATTTAGATTTTACAAGAGGCGCAGTTGAGAATGCCAAAAGAAAAAAAGAACCACTCTCTGCAAAAAATATTCATTATAACCAAGAACTTAGGCGATATTTGCAAATAAGAAATGAGAATGAAAATAAACCAGTAAAAGTTCAAATGGTAGCTAATCCCAAGGGTGCTATTGTAAGTACTAATGTTAACAGACCTGTCTCAAACATTAATGAGGAAGGTGATGATGATTTCTGGATAAGTGATGACATTTCCTATTCATCGTACCCAAAGGAGCCGCCTGCCCTTGCCTATAATATTGTTCCTCCTCTTTCATCCTCTTCAAGTTTACAAAGAGGACTAAATAAACGACATAAACGGTTATTAAGAGATGGAATTTCCCCAACTCCTCCTAACCCTAGACTAAAAATAAAGAGAAAACATAAGGGAGAAGACTATGAGCAAAATAAAAGACAACATTTGATTAATAAGGCTTCGAGACAAACTATTTTAAAGAGAAATGAGTATTTGAAAGTTTCTGAAAAGGCTAGAAATAAATTGCAAAAATTAGAAAGGAAAAAGTTATTGAAAAATTGGAGAATTCCTTATACTCCTGAATATAACACAAATTCTCCTGTTGAAAGTGATATTCATCCCTCTCCTCCCAACCCAATTCTCTCTAATATTCCCGAAGGCATTAATGCCCCTCTTGTATCAGAGAAAATTCCTGCAAGAGATGTTACAAAAAGAGCCAAATCAGAAGATTTTGTGAGTGCAAAAAGATGGAAAAAAGGCTATGATACGGATAAGGAAGCTAAGATAAATCGTGAGAAAAAAAGAAGAGAATATTTACAAAGAAAAATTGGAATTAGAGAACAAAAGTTTCCTATTGATCAATCAGCATTAGTTCAAACACGTAAAGAAGATGATGTGCGAAGACGACAAAAATTAAAAAGAAAATTGGAAGGTCCAGACGAAAGTCCTCTAATTGCTTTGAAAAGAGTAAAACCAGTGACAAAACAACAATCTGCAAAAGCCGGTAGAGAATGGATGTTAAGACTTATAAAAGCTAAACGTAAGGAGGCTGGTATAAAAAGATTTAAACCTACTCTCTGGTAAATGGCGGATCCTACAAAACTTTTAAACCACCTTTATAATGATCCAGATTCGCCTGCAGCATTTTCAGGAGTTGATCGACTTTGGTATGAAGCAAGAAAAGTTATCAAAAATTTACCTAGAAATATTGTTCAGAATTATTTGGATGGGCATAGGACTTATACGCTTATGCGTCCTAAAAGAGTTAATTTTAAAAGAGCAAAAACTGTAGCAGCAGGTTTTATGACAGATGTGCAAGTAGACTTGGCAGATATGCAGGCTCTTTCCAGGCATAACAAGGGAAATAAATATATTCTTCTAGGGGTTGATGTACTTTCTAAACGTCTTTTTGGCGTTCCTGTTAAATCAAAAGGCTCAAAAGATATGTTAGATGCATTCAAAAAGTTAATTAGTCAAATGCCCATGAAACCTCATAGGATTTTCTCAGATAAAGGGTTAGAATTTAAAAACAAAGTTGTAAAGGAATATTTTGAGAATGAGGAGATTCAAAAGAATGAGGCTACTCATTCGACTGTTAAAGCTTCTGTGGCCGAAAGGGCTATAAGAAATGTAAAGCAGCGGCTCTATAGATATTTTGCACAAAACAAATCTTTAAATTGGATTGATATACTTGATAAAATATTAGATGGCATTAATAAGTCAAAGAGCAGGGTGCATGGGATGCGTCCTATTGATATAAATTTTTCTAATGCACAAGAGGTGTGGGAGCGAATGTATACAGATGAATTTTCATCAAAGGGAAAGAAAAGTAAAGCAAAGCTAAAGGAAGGAGATTTTGTTCGTACTAGCATAAAAAAAGGATCCTTTGAAAAAGGTTATATTCCAAATTGGGGAGACCAAATTTTACGAGTAGATAAGGTTCAGGATCAATTTTTTCCTGTTCGATATAGAATTAATAATGAAGATGGAGATAGGTTCAAAGGATATTACTATGGAGAGGAGCTTGCTCGTGTCAAAAAGGATGCCGATACAGAATATAGGATAGAGAAAGTCATAAGAAAGAAAAAGAGAGCGGATGGAACGTATGATGTTCTTGTAAAATTTGTAGGATATCCCGAAAGGGAGTGGATTCATGAAACCCAACTTGTATAAAAGGGATTCATCTCGTTGTATTTCTTTCATTTTAAATAAAAATGTCAAATAGTTTTTATGTTTGTTTATTGAGTAATGTTTCAGATTATCCACAAAACCAACCGAATAAATTTCGTGTTCACTTACCCAAACCCCTTTATTTTACCGGTGACTGGGTCTGTGGTGTCCATAGTATAAGCTATCCATATTCTTGGCCTTCTACTGTTGGGACTCTTGACGAGCAATGGATAGATATAAATTTTACAGATAACAATAAAATGGGGCAAGTCATAAGAATTCCTGTTCCAAAAGGCTCCCACAATACACCAGAGGAGCTCCTTCAGTTTTTGATTGCTACCTTAGAACACCAAGGTGCAGCTTTAAAAGCTTCGTCTCTTGAACAATCAGATGGGTTAGTGAAGAAACCAAGCATACTAACAAGGGATAAACGTGAGATTGATCCTAGAACTCCTCCTAGAATTGAAAAAGATATAGAATTGCCTGTAACTCCTCCATTAACTAGCCCAACGAGTGAGACAATAGAGGAATCTATTTATCCTGTAACACCTCCTTTATCAAGTCCAATATCAGATAACGAGACACGCCAATTAATATCGAATACGTCTTCTAATATTAATCAAGAACAAACACCTCCTAAGAAAGACCCAGAGATAATAAACAAACCCAATATCATAAAATCTTTAACACCTCAAAGAGTCGAATCTCAAACAAACAAAACGGAAAATAAAATACAAACAATAATTAGCCCGCCACCCAATGAGTCAACATCTTTGAGAACAGAAGATAGATCAAAACCTGTAATAAATTCAACTTTAACTTCATCTCCTCCTCGTCCCCCAAAGATAGATCCTGTTAATCCAAATCAAACTTACAAAACAATTTCATCTTCAAAACCAGAGATCTTAAAGGCACAATTTGAACCTCAAAAGCCAATAACACCTCCAAGAGTTAACCAAGAAAAAGAAAAATCATATAAAATAACACCAGTAATTCCTTCAATAGAAAACCAGGAAATAGAAAAACCATTAATTAAAAAACCAGTAAGCCCTCAAATAGCCACCCCTGAATTGGAAAAACCATTAGTTACCAAACCTGTAACTCCTCCAAGAGTCCATAAAGAACTGGAAAAACCTTTGCTTACAAAATCAACAACACCTCCAAAAACATATTTGACACATCCTATAACTGAACCACAAACTTTACCTCCTAGAACACAGAAACGCCCTCAAAGTCACTTAAAAAATCAAACTCCTCCAGCAAAACAATCTTCAAATCAAACAAATGGAACTATCTCGCAATCCACTCAAACATCCCCTAAATCATCCCCTAGTGTTTTAGATGCTATGGGTTTAGGATCATCAAAAGGAGTCAATAATTCGAGAGGTGACAAGCTGTTTGAAGTATTATTCGGAAAGGAAAATAAAACACCGTATGATATTACCTTTTTAAAACAAATTATTGATTCAATTAATTTATCTTATCACACAGATTTTAAACGATTTAAACTTGTATTTTCTCATCATAGTATCAAATATCTGTCATTTTCACCGCAATTAGGATATGTTTTAGGATTTGCAAATCCTCATCTAGTACAAAATAATGAAATTGCCAAGTATGGATGTGATTTAAGAGGAGGGTTTTCCAGCTTTGCAATCTATGCAAAAGGACTTACAGAAAATATGATCGTTGGAAATTCTCTTAGCTCTTTGCTCAGAATAGTGTCAGTCACAGGAGCAGTACCTGGGGAGTATCACGAAAAGATTTATGATTCTCCCATCTATGTTAGAGTGCTCCCCCGGGAAGTAAATGAAATTGAAGTTGAACTAAGGACGATGGATAATGGTAGACTTGTACCATTTGCTTATGGTACAGTCAGTATTGTTTTGATATTTAAGAAAGTGATAAATTTTTAGGATGTATATAAAGTGTTAACATTTTCATTATTCATTTTAATTTTTTTCGGATAAAATGGTTCATGTTCAATTTGATACTAGTTTAGTAGGGTATAATTTTGTAGATCAAAATGGGAGTGGAGAGGAAAATTATTATTTTAAAGGAGCCTCACCATATCAGCGTGGATATGGGCAAAGAGGAGCAGGAGTTGGAGATATTATGAGAGGATTGTGGAGATTTTTTCTCCCGATTATTCGAAAAGTAGGTACTACAGTATCTACTGAGGCACTTAATACAGGACAGCGCGTACTTGAAAGAGTCCATGAAGGTCAGCCTATAAAGGAGGCATTAGTCAGTGAAGGAAAAAGAGGAATTGATACAGTCCTTGAAAAAGGAGGATTACCAAAACAATTTGGAACTGGAAGAAAAAGTATAAAAAGGAATAAATTTCCCTCCCATCAAACAGTTATTGGAAAAATTGTTAAAAAGAGAAAAAGGTCGGACGCATTTGGATTTTATTAAAATGGCGTTCCACAAAATTGATAAGGATAGCGTCGACACAATTACGAATGCACTAGATTTTTTTCAAATTCCTCCAACTAATGTAAGCATATCATCCTCAAAAACATTTGAAATCCTTCCAAGTAATCCTTTGACAGACACACCCTATCATTTTAAGATTCACTCAAGTGAAAATTTTATAGATCTTTCTAAATGTTATATTTTTACAGAATTTCGAATCCGTAAAGAGAATGCGAACGGACAGATCGTAAATATTACTCTTGATGAAAATGTTGCTCCCATACAGATGATAGGGAGCACATTTATTAATAATATGAGAATAAGCGTAAACGGGAGAGAGATTTTCAATTCAAACTCACTATATGCCTATAAGACTTACTTTTCCCATGAACTTTCCTACTCTCTAGGAGCAAAAGGTTCTCATCTAAATTCTGCTGGCTATTATTATGATTCAGGTTTATCACAAGAGTCCGGAGCAAGCTTTAATTCGAGAAAAAATTTGTTCGTTAATAGCAGAACAGCACAATTTGTTTCAAACTTGACGCTGACCTTTTCAATCAGCCTCAGTATCTCATAAATCATTGTGAAATTGATATAGAAATTTTACCTAACGAAGCAAAATTTCTCCTTATTGCACCTGTTGTAGTTGGAGCTCAACCTACTCGTTACTTCTTTGAAGTAGTGAGCTGTAAACTTTATGTGAAAAAACTAGACTTGATGGACGGATTATCTCTCGACATTGCTAGGAGACTTGATCTAAAACCTGCCCGTTATGCTATTCGTAAGACAATGATGAAACCATTATTTATCAGCCAAGGAAGATATGAGTTTCATGCCAATCTATTTATGGATCAAATACCACGACGAATTACTTTAGGATTAGTCGCCAACTCCGATTATGTAGGGACACAAGAGCGGAGTCCTTTCAATTTTCAGCCTTTTAGAGTTAGAGAAATTAGTATTATAGCGAATGGACGTTCATATCCTCAGGCACCCTATGATTTTGATTATGGTTCAAATAGATATGCCAGAGCATTTTATGATAAGAATGAGGCTATAGGGTTTTCAGGTTCTTCAGAGAGCAATGGGATAACATATTTGCAATACGGACGAACCCATTGTATTTATGTCTTCAATCTTACAAATAGTGGGGAAGATAATGGAGGTACATTTGATTTAATAAAGAATGGGTCGACAGCCGTAAATATTAAATTTAGTCAACCTATTCCAGAGGGAGGAGTCATGCTCATAGTTATGGGAGAAGCAGATGCGCTAATAATGTTGGATAAAAATCGATCAATAACGAGCGATACCACTATATAAACCTCAAAAATTGTCATTTTCTATTCATTTTAAATAAAAATGTTTTTTAAAAGACTTGCCAAAGTTTTATTCTTAATTCGAGTTTTTACTCCCTGTGTAAATACTCTAAGTACTGATGGGAGTGTAGATGTTCAAAATCTTCCTGAGTACAGGGAATATTTACGTAGACTAGGATATCCCCCAAAGAGAAATAATACTGCTTCAAGTATACCTCCTCCTCCTCATATTTCTGCTCCTCAACCTTTTGGTAGTCTTCCTCAGATTCAATTATGTAAGGAGACTCCTGGAGATATTTATGGACATATATTTTGTTGGGGAATGATTTGTTTGTATGCACTCCTTATTATAAGTCTAATCATTTATCAACTTCGATCAATACTTTGGGTTAAATTAAATATTTTGCAAAACAATGTACAGCAGCCAGATAACTCAAATTTTGAGAGCAAATCAAAGGACGAGCAAAATTTTCGAGGGGTGCTTCCCTTGTGACCTACTCCCTTCTCCTAATAGCCTAAGAAGACCAACTATTCTTATTGTGAATTTGGATCCTCATGAGAAGGAAGGATCTCACTGGATTACTCTTTATTTAGAAAAAGAGCAAATATTTTATTTTGATAGTCTCGCACTCCCTATAAGCTCTTGTATTGTTAACTCCTTTCTAAAAAATTTTAAAAATTTTAAAAGAAATATAAACTCGTATCAATCTCCCTTATCTAATAATTGTGCTTATCATTGTATATCACTAGTATATTTTTTATCCCAAGGCTACTCCTTTTACCAATACATAAATTTATTAGAGTCAATTAATAATACAGATTTATTTGTAAATTACATTGTGAATAAAATTATAAAAAATTAATTATTATGTATTTCTAAATAACTCTTTGTAATTTTAAAACAATCGGGACATAGATAAAATTCATATTTAAAATTATGTTCATATTTGGGTAAAATAATTTCACACTGCATACGACTCAAAACAAACTTTAGGCAATCATGACACCACTTACCAGCTCTGAAATAGTTTATAAGTATGCTTAATCTCGCTCCTAGGTCAAGCTGAACACCATCTTTGATAGCTTCGCTCAAAGCGTTCATATATTTCCTCTTGTTAAATTGTCTATATTCGCACGATCCGTGCATAAATTTAATAAATTCTTCTTCCGGAGAGCTGCTCATTTTTAAAGAAATTTTTAAAATGATTATGGAAAATGAGCGGAAATCAAAAAAGTTTTGAAAAATAAAGAACACTTAGTTCGCAGCCTATATATTTTAAAATACTTTAAATAATTTCCATATTTTAAATGATATTTTAATATATTTTTAGTCCCTCATTTTTTCTCTCTCCTTCTCCCTATTAATAAAAGGTTCATTTTTATTTGAATATACAACATTAATCGATAACTAATTGAACTTTCTTGTTGTTCTTTCTTATAATTTTTGTCGAGACGGATTAATATAGGAAGAGAAAGGCTCACCGTAAATCGAGAAAAGGAAAAGAGAAAGGTGAACGCCAGACGTTCGCTCGTTCTATGGATTTGTGTGTTAGCCCAAGCAAAGAGTTTACTATAAAAGAAAAGGAAAATATTACATTTATTTCATTCAATAAATTATTAATTTTTGTTTAATTTTTGGTAAAAATTAAATTATGGATTATCAGCCACCTAGAAAACGAGCTCGCTCCTTTTTTATTGATAATCTCCTTGTTCAAGATCAAACAGGAGAAGGAGCACCAGAAGAATATGTTGAACAACTTGAGGATTTTATACAACATATTGAAAAATTTAAAATTGTCAAAAGTTATTCCAAATATTTAATAAAGAGTATTCCAGCCGACCCGGAAACTCTTCTTGCCGGCATTTTCCAATATTGTTTCGATGAGGCCATTTCAAATGCACGCACCAAAGGAGTCGAACCAGAGATGCTAGGGTGTACTCTCACTAGTGAGTTGCTCGACACGGATATTTGGATTCCGATAAGGCCTACGACAGAAAATACTTTCGACACAATGCTGAATCAATTTAATAAAGTGGCGCAGAGCAAAAAAAGTGCAGGCATAACATTATGGGGTAAGCCATTTTCTATTACTGTTATGATTGCAGACAAAACTAATTTGTCGAGGAGCAATACCCTTACTGGAGGAGCTCCGCGAAAATTAGCTCCTCTTCACCATCAAATAAAAGAAAAAAGCCTTATCAAAATAAACAACAGCGATGGCTACTGCCTATTCTATTCATTATTGGCATCAATGATACGTGTCACTGGAATTTTTACACGCTCCCAATTTTACAACTATGTTCATGCACGTTATGGATCAAGAGGTCGTTTTGAGAAGGACACCTTAGAGCTGATGGAATATGTTGGAGCACCTCTTGGTTACGAGGAATACAATGCAGAAGACTGGGTGCCTCCTGTAGTTGATTATTGGAATGAGAAATATGAAGGCCAGTTTATTTTTAAAGTTTTTGTATTTGATTGTCTGGGACATTATAAGCCGTGTTTTAAATACGGCCCGGATAATTTTGATTCACCGATACTTCTATATTTCGACGGATCGCACTTCAATGGTGTAACTTGTACAGGAGGACTTTTCGGACAACCGTATTGTTTATCCTGTGAAACTGTTTATTCTCATCCTCAAGCACACTCAATAAAATGTCGATCTCGTTGTCTCAACTGTTCCAGAACTGGCCCATTATATCCTTGCCCTCCAAGGAACAACTTTTTTAAAAAATGTGAAGGATGTTCAAAGAAATTTATTAATCAAGATTGCTTTAATCATCACATAAATTCAAACTTCTGCAAACGTTCTAAACGTTGTGAAAAGTGTGGGATAATCTGGGATACAGAAGGTAACAACAAAGATGGGAGAAAAGGGCATCAATGTAATGAGAGATATTGTAAAATTTGTTTTAGCTATCACGATCGAAAGAGAGGATGTTTTGTAAGCCCTATTGAGTCTAAAGTTCAAAAACCGTACAGAATTGTAGTTTTTGATCTTGAGACAATGCAGCATATGGTATCTGACAACAATAAAAGAAGACATCAGACTAATTTTATCGCAGCAAGAATTACATGTCCTAAATGTATAAAGGAGGAGCAGGTTGATTGCAACATATGCGGAGAGAGCAGACTCATTACTTTCTCTGAGCGCCCATTCAGCAAAACTAATGTTAACAACAAAATCATAGGACCTGATCCAATAGTTTCTTTTGTTAAATGGATCATTGAAACAACAAAAGGTTGTGATACAATGGCCTTCTCACATTTCGGAGGAAGGTTTGATATGGTGATTGTTTTTAGAGAGCTCTTTCTCCTCGGATTTACTCCGGAAATGCTACGAAGAGGAAACAAAATGTATGAGATGAAGGTGAAAGTAAGCAAAAAGAGCATGCTCATATTTCGGGACAGTTTTAATCTGATGCCTATGTCGTTGGCATCTCTGGTCTCTGCTTTTGCTCTTGACGTTGAGGAAAAGCCTTTCTTTCCCCATCTTGCAAACAGACCAGAAAATTATGGGAAAGAAATTTTTCCTATCCCGTCTGATTATTTTGCGGACGGGATGATGCCTGACAAAAGAAAGGAATTCGATCGATGGTATGTAATTAACAAAGAAGAGCCATTTTTCTTGGATGAAGCTTTAGCTGCATATTGTACTAATGATGTTGAGATATTGCTAGCTGCACTAATCACCTTTAGGCGAGAATTTATGAATGTAACAAAAAGAGGTCCATGTCAAAGAGCAGCATCAACAAGAGCACATTATGGTATTGACATACTCAAGGAGTCAATGACCATAGCATCAGCTTGTATGTGTCATTTTAGAACGAACCATTTAAAGAAGGATCACTTAGCTATTGTCCCAGAAAAAGGTTATGATAATGCAGATAACCAAAGTCGTCTTGCACTTAAATTTTTGAAGTGGTATGAGGAGGAGTATGGAGTAGAAGTGCAGACAGCATATTCAAAAGGAGGAGAAAAAAAGATCGGGAACTACAAACTTGATGGCTGGATTGAGGAGGAGCAGTTAGGTATAGAAGTCAACGGGTGTGTGTGGCACGGTTGTGAAAAGTGTTATCCTGAATACAACACTATTCTTCCTAATGGTTTCACTGCAGGCAAACAAAGAGAGAAAGATGAATTGAGATTGGAATTTATAAAAAGTCAAGGAGTAAAAGTAAAAATATTCTGGGAGTGTGAAATAAGAAAGATGTTGGATAAAGATAGAGAGATGCGAAACAAATTTAAAAATTATTTAGACAATGGCCCGATAGACATCAGATCCTGCTTTTTTGGAGGTCGTACCGGCCCATTGCGTCTATTTTACTCACCAAGAGCAGGTGAAAAAATTTCGTACTACGATGTTACCTCACTCTATCCGTTTGTTAATGTGAGTACAAAATATCCAGTGGGGCACCCAAAAGTGCAAATAATAAACAAAGATGTTCATTGGACTCGCCCAGACGATAATACTTTTGATTTAGCAATTTTAAAAGTATTTGTAATCCCTCCTAGGAGCATTGACATTCCTGTTCTCCCTATGAAAATAGGAACTGACGATGAGAGATTACTTTTCCCGCTTTGTTCAAAATGCGCCTGCGAAAATCGTGAAGGAAGTGTAAATCAGAATTACTCATGTCCTCACTCAGACCAGCAACGAGGTTGGGTGAGTACTTGTACCTCGATTGAACTAGATGTGGCTCTTGAGGAAGGTTACATTGTAACCAAGCTCTTCCGTGTTTTGGAATATACTAGTTCAGACGACAAATTATTTGCACCATATATTAGTGAATTCATGTCTGAAAAAATTCACTCATCTGGGTTTGACAGCTCTATGAAAGATAATTTTGCAGCCGAGGAAAATTTCATCAAAGAATGTAAAGAGAAATTCGGAATCATTATTGAGAGGAATAAAATGGGAGCAAACAAAGGAAGACGCACACAAGCGAAATTGATGTTAAATAATTTATGGGGGAGATTTTCATTAAGAAATGTTGGACTTTCACAATGCACCATTACTAACAACACTGCCGAACTTTGCCGATATTACGAAGACCGATCAATTGAGATATCAAGTATAGATGAGCTCACTCCAGGTATCTTACTTATTTCATATGTAAAGAAGAAAGATTGGATAGAAGAGCATTCATGCTCAAATGTGGTCATTTCCTTATGGACCACTTCGGCAGCTCGTATTCACTTGCTCCGTGCCGTGCAGAAGGTAGCACGTTCTCCGGGGTGTTCATTGCTCTACACGGATACAGATTCCCTTATTTTTTCACATCCTGTAGAAAATTGTCCCCTCGACCTGGGACCTCATTTGGGTGAATTTACAGATGAATACCCCTCACATGAAATTTTGGAGTACTGTTGCGGAGGAGCAAAGCAGTACGGACTTAAACTACAAAAGAAGGGTCAACATGAAGCAAACTATGATTACGTCCTCAAAGTGAGAGGAATGACGCTTAACTGGGACGTCCTCACTAATCAAGGTTTACAATATGAAACTTTCAAAGAACATGTAATTTCTTATGCTACAACAGGTGATTTGGACCCTATTAATATTTTATACCCAAATTTTTTGCGACCATCGATTAAAGATGGTTGTGTCACTTCTCAACCCCTTTATAAAATGTATAAGCCAGTTGTTAGCAAAGGAGTAATCCGACCCTCTGATTTTATTGTACTTAATTTCGGATATACTAATAATCGTCACCCACGAATTTCTCCACCATAATTTACAATTGTATTTATAATTAATTTATTTTTGAATAAAAAATTTACAAAAATTGTTTGCAATATTAATAATTGAAAGTTATCGATTTTAGGAGAAAAACTGCACAATTAATAAAGAGAAGATGACAAAGCAAAATTAAAGTAAAGGAGTAACTAAATTTAGGGGTAATTGTGCATATTTAACAATTTTAAGTTAACAAAATTATATCATATATATTTATAGGGGAAAAGTGCATATTTAGATAATAAAATTAGAAAATTTTTACTTTTTGTTTATAAGAATGCTCCTCACCATTGACTAAGTTCGAAATTGTAAACTTCAGCATCCTCATCTTTTTTCATTTCTTCTGATATTTTGAGTTTGCATGAAATATCAGAGGGGAGACGATGCATCCACTTGTTAATTTTCATTTCCTCCTCCTCCTTCTCTTTAACAAATTCCAACAATTCCAAAGGATAAAATCTATCTTCACCTCCGAATGGAAATCTTTGAACAACACACTGAAGATATGGATAACGCAGACGAATCCGGTGACGTGCATAGAAGTGAGCTGCTACGCTCACATTATAAGGATGACGTAATCTCCCATATGCTCTAAGTGAATTAGCTCCTTTCCTTGAGAGACCATTAATCGTAAAAGTTTTTTTAAACCCATTTTGGTCCTCATAAGTGGTCTGGACTTTACGGTCAAGAAGCTCTTTTAATAAAAATATACGATTATCAGGGTGGTTAAGGTTATCTCTTAACGATTTAGCAGAGCACCCTAGTATTTGAGAGCATTCATCGATTACTTTATTAGAGCTCATTTTAGATAGAATGAAAAATTTTGTGAGATTTGGCTCTTTAAATACTCGGATCTTGACCTAGTTTTATAGTTAATCAACATTGATATTAAAAATTTATAAGATAGCCCCTTAATCTATAAACTTCGAAATCTCAATTTATGTTTGAATTTATTTTTAAAAATATTCTTGTAGTGATGTTTTTCTTCTGCTCGTCTCCTCTTTCATTTATTATTACATAATCTTTTTCTTATTATTAATCCGTTTACTTTTCTCGAAAATTTCAGGATTTTCTATTGCCCTACTTTGTTATGTGAAATATTGAGATAAAACAATAAATTTGAATTTATAATAAATAAACTATTCAAAAAATATTTTTGAGCTGATGCTTTTCTTCTGTTCCTCATCTCGTTCATTTAGATTACATAATCGGTTCTCATAATCCTTTAATGTTCTGTAAGATGTCCTCTCTCTGGTTTTCTTTGTTGCCGAAATATTGAAAACAAAATTTGAAACAAGTTTAAACTAATCTACTACGGTAAAGCTTTGAGAGATAAATTTGATTGTAATGAGGCGTGGATTTTCTGACAATTTTGAATAAACGCCCAGATCTGCATATACTAGGATGAACATATCTATTTCAATCTCCCCTAAACACATTTTTTCCATCTCCCAAAAATAAAATTTTTTCTTATAATTTTAAAAAATAAATGAACAACAATACCACCAGGAGAGCTAGAGCTCCTAGCCCTATCAAGAGGGAAAAGCGGTCAAGGAAGAGAAACCATTCCGCTGATCGCTCTCGGTCACCTATTAGCCTTTCGCCCATTATAGATGTGAAATGGCATGAAAGAGTTAATTTATTCGTCGAGACAGAACGACAAAAGCGGCAATTTCATAAAGAATGTGAGATATTATTTATTAATTTTTTAAAGATTTTTTATTAAATTTTAGTGGACCAGAAGCAACTGCTTGATTGCATTAAGAGCAGCTGCAGAAAGCTTGTGCATTATTGTGGATTGACAGTTAATCATGGAGCTCCTCTTAATGAACAGGGAGGGAATATGCCTCAGCAAGAGCAACAACAACAACAGAACAATAATCAACAACTCTATAACGTCCGCCGATTCCCGAAAAATTTTAAATTGCGTAAAGAAGATTTATGTGTAGCGTGTATGGAGCGTCCACCAGTAACTCTTCATCTGTGTGGCCACGTCACCTTCTGTTTCTGGTGCACCGAGAAAGCGATGACTGAGCACCGAAACAGGATTCTTCATGCTATTCCAGGGCAATCAATTCAACCGATAATGTGTGCCATTTGCAGAAATCAGAGCTCATTTCGAAGAATTACACGTTTTTAATGTTTTTTTAAATTTTTAATGCTCCTCTTATTTTTACTCCTCCTAAATGCTCCTCTTCTTTAGCTATTAAATCATGCACTCCTTAATTTTACTCCTAAATGCTCCACTTCTTTAGTTATTAAAGAATGTGCTCCTTAATTTTACTCCTCCTAAATGCTCCTCTTTTTAATGGTATTTATCTTCCCCTATATTTTGCAACACTTATTTTTTAACCATTTATTTAGTACTATATTTACCTTTACAATATTTGTCTAATTATAATTTTTGGAAGGATTTGATTAATTTTGAATAATTTAACAATATTTAATTTAAATAAATAAAGAAAAGTAAAAATTTTTTAGAATATGAAAAACCCTAGTTAAAAATAATAGAGATATTTTTAGGGGTAATTTGCTTTTTTGGGAGCTGATATCAGGGTTGTTACAAATTACGATTACGAAAATATCGGTAAAATTACGAATTACGAAAATAAAAAATAAAAAACCCTCTCATACTTTACCATTAAATTTTTAAAGGAAAAGGAAAGAAATATTTATATTTTCTCTCACGTTTATTTATGTTGATCGATGTTTGAGTGGTTTAGTAGTCAGGCCTCACTCACTTTGATATTTTGTAAGGCTTGGTTCGGAACAATAATTGAGAATTGAACTTTAGACAAGTATTTTATCAAAAATAAAAATTTTTAAACATTTATTTTTTTAATAAAAAAATTTTATTAATAAAAAAATTAAAAATTTTAACTTAGTCATGAATTTTAGCGAGGATATCGGAGGATTGGAGGACTTGGAGTGATTAATAGACACAGCATCAATTATTAATAAATATGATTTTTTGAATTAATTTTAATATTTTTTATAAATTACGAATTACGGCATTTTTTCCCTAACTTAAAAAAATTTTAAAAGTAAAATGTTTAAATTTTATTTAAAAAGAAAATTTAAAAAATAATTTCAAAATAAATTTAAAAATTAAATTTTTTTAAAAATGTTTTGCTTCTCTTTCAATTTCTTGTTCTTTTTTCTCGAACATCCCGTGCTCTGGAAATAATAAAAGGGCACTACTACAGATAGTATGGTTATGTATATTTTTATATTGTTTTCTTCTTTATTCAAATATTTCAACATATTCAAATAAAAAAGAAAACAGTATAAAAATATACATAACCATACTATCTGTAGTAGTGCCAAACAAAATTTAAAATTTTTCTTTAACTTAAAATTTTTCTTAGACCCCCCCCCCCTCAGGTCCAAAAAGTCTGGGCCCATTTCTAGTCTGGGTCCCGAGACCCATCCCAGATCTGGGCCCATCCTTACCCCCCGGGAGCCCTTCCCCCATCTCTAGTCTGGGTCCCGAGACCCATCCCAGATCTGGGCCCATCCTTACCCCCCGGGACCCCCAAAAGTCTGGGCCCATCTCTAGTCTGGGTCCCGAGACCCATCCCAGATCTGGGCCCATCCTTACCCCCCGGGAGCCCTTCCCCCATCTCTAGTCTGGGTCCCGAGACCCATCCCAGATCTGGGCCCATCCTTACCCCCGGACCCCCAAAAGTCTGGGCCCATCTCTAGTCTGGGTCCCGAGACCCATCCCAGATCTGGGCCCATCCTTACCCCCCGGGAGCCCTTCCCCCATCTCTAGTCTGGGTCTCGAGACCCATCCCAGATCTGGGCCCATCCTTACCCCCGGACCCCCAAAAGTCTGGGTCAATCTCTAGTCTGGGTCCCGAGACCCATCCCAGATCTGGACCCAACCCCCCGGACCCCACAGACCCAAAAATAACTAATTTCCCTTTATTTTCAATTAATTATTTTTACAGACCTTTCCTTTGTTCCTTGGTTTCTTCTTTTCCTATAAAAATAAAAAATTTTATTATCAAAAAATTTTTAACCTAACCTCCACAAAATTTTTTAACCCCAAATTGTCATCTCCTTCTCCCTCTCGCTTATTTCCATCATAAGAAACTTGGATATTCTCTCCAGAACTATCAACAGGAACAGTTTTGACAGGAGGATCTGTTGAAGAAGCTGGTTCAGTAGCTGCTGCAACAGGAATGTCGTCAATGTCAATTATTCCTTCACCAATTTCACTTGCTTCTTAAAAATAATTTTTTTATAAAATATTCAAAAAAATGCCCCAATCATACCACTTCATAAGATATAATCATTACCAGATATACCTCAATTTAAGAAATGTTTTTAAGAAATTGAGGTATATCTGAGTAAATTTTCAATTGGGAGTTAAAAACTATCTGAATAGAGGAATGGACTAAACGATGCCCCTATACTTAAGAACCTCATTAAAGATACAATTTTTCGATCCCGAGTATGTATGAGGTCTGACGAGGTGAGGTATTGAGGTTTATCTTATTATTTTCTTACCAAATTTACTCAATTGCTCATTTTCTTCCTTCAATTTCTTAATTTCACTTCCCATTTGTCGAATCTTCTCTTGACTGCTTTTATAAGCTTTTTCAATCATTTCAATTTTTATCAATAATTCGTCCCTTTGAGCTTCTAATTCTTTAATTTGTTGAGTAGACGCCTTTAAAACAAGAAATCTTTTTAATTCTAGTCAAAAAAAAACCTCAATTTTCTTTGTCAATTCCTCAATTTTTGTTTGATATTCCTTCCTCTCAGCTTGTATAGTTGAAACAGCTTCGACATTTGAAGAGCTTACAGCGACAGCAGCAACAGAATCTCGAGTCTTTACCAATTGGTCTTGAACAACCATAAGTTCGTCCTAAGAAATAAAAAATTAGAAAGGCAAATGCTGGAAGAAAGGAAAAGTCTGACCATTTTGTAAAAATATGGGGGGGGGGTGAATTGGGGAGAAAAAAATAGGGTCTGTATGCTTCAGTATTACCAAATTAAATAAAATGTTTAAAGGGAGGGGAAAATTTTCATCGAACGAAAAAAGCCCAGAAAATTCCCACTATTTGGAAATAGATTAAAACTAAAACCTGAAGTTTTACATTTTCTGCGGAAAGTTTAATTTTTTCTTCACGAATTTTTCTAGCAACATGTTTGACCATAAGAAGACTTTCATGTGTTGCTTTATGCGTTGCAACAGCTTTGGTATATTCTGCATTAAGTGTGTTATGTTCATCCCTAAAAAGAATTTTTTTATTAACCTTGACAATATTTATGTATAAAAATCAAACACAAAATCCAAAAGGAACCCTAGATAACAACATCCCCCATCAAAATCATCGATCTACTCCTTTAGAATTAAAAAAAATTTTATAAACAAACTTAGTTTTTTTAAGTTCTTCAGTGAGCCGATCACATTCTCTCCTCAAAATTCCAAAATCATCCTCTTTTTGAGACATATCCAATTTTAATTTTTCAATATCGCCCCTTTTAAATAAATTTAGTATGATTTTTAAACTTTTATAAAAATCATACTGAAGAGAATTAACAATTTCAGGCGAATATTTGCTAGCCATAGCCATTGCCCGATCATGACGTTCTTTTAACAATTTAATTTGTTGTGCTCTACCTTTAGACAATTTTGTAGCATTTTCCAATTTTTTATTCAATTCAGTCTTCTCTGCAAGCAATTTTGCTTGCTCTACTTCCAATCCTTGTGCCAGCACATTTGTTGAAGTAAAACGTTCATTTAATTCGTCAAACGATTTTTTAATTTGTTGATAATGATTTTGAACTTCCCTTAAAGAATTTAATTGAGTTAACAATTCTTCTTTTTCAACATCAATTTTTGCATTAATTTCAACTTCATTGGTTAATTTAGCAATTTCTGATTCTAATTTCATAATTTTATCTTCAGCAATTATACATCTTTCTCGATACTTCTTTAATGAATATTCAACCTCAATACGGATTAAGTTTTCATTTTCTCTTTCTTTTCTCCAGTAATTAATAATTGAAGATAAGGTGTTTGGAGATGCACAATTATCTTTCTTAAGCTATATAGAAAAAATATTTTACAAATTTTATAAAAACATACAATCGATTTTTGGAACTCTTCACACTTATCTTGACAATCCTTCTCTAAAGTTGCAAGATGTTGAGTCAATTTTTCACTCTTCGAGATTTCTTCAGCCAAATCAGTAGTCAATCTCAAATTATTTTCGGAGAATTTAGTACAATTAGAATTCACCTTTAAAAAGAATATTTAAATTTAAAAAAATTAAATCAAACCTTTTCAAAATCGCTTTGAAGTTTTTCATTTTCAAGACGAAGCTGATCAATAACAAGTTTATATTCGAGTATTTCCTTGTCTTTCTCAACTCTACATTGTTCAGTTTTTGCATTTAGTTCAACTTCATTGGTTAATTTAGCAATTTCTGATTCCAATTGTAAAATATTTTGTTGATCAACGGTAGATTTGGCACGGATTTGTTGCAATTCTAATTCAGCAGACATACGCAATTCTGTCTCTTTTTGCTTATCTGTCTGCATATAACCAATAATTGCATTTTTACGTTCGGTATGTTGTTGAGTTGAAGTTTCGATTCCGGTAGTTGAAAGACGTCTAGAAAAATTTAAAAACAAAATTAATCCCAAAAAATCAGAAAAAATATACGTGATTGGTGAGAATGTTGACATTGTTTCAGAAACGTTTGAAGATGGGGAAGCAATAGTGTGCTGCAAACGTTCCATAAATTCAATTCGCTTTAGAAGCTCTTGAATTTCATCATAAAGAGACGCCTGCTTTTCCAAATGTTCCTTGTCTCTTGTCATATAAGTGTTAATTTCATCTTGAAGACGAAGCTTCTCTTGTTCGAAAATGTCCTAAAAAAGTCGAAAAATATTCCAAAATTTTATAAAAACATACAACTGATTTTTTGCAATTAGAATTCACCTTTAAAAAATTTAAAATTAAATAAATTAAAAAAATTTAAATCAAACCCTTTCAAAATCGCTTTGAAGTTTCCCGTTCTCAAGGCGAAGTTGATCAATAACACGTTTATATTCGTGTGTTTCTTTGTCTTTCTCTACTCTCCATTGTTCAGTTTTTGCATTTAATTCATCAAGTTTGTTGTTTGTTTCAGTCAAATTCTTCGTTTGGTTGAGTAATTCCATCTCCTTTATTGAAACAACATTTCTCGAGTCTTCGATTAATAATTTACTAGAAAAATAGGAATTAAACTCATTAAATCAGAAATTTTAAAAAATATACTTTTTATTCATTTCCTCCTCAAGCTGTTCCTTACAATTTTTTAATTTTAGCATAAGTGTCACATTGCTCCTGTTCACAGAAGTTGCGAGCAGACGGAGCCGTTTGAATTTTCTTTTATACTAGAAAAAATTCAAAAGCTTTTAAAATTATTACAAAAAAAAAACTTTAATTGATTTTTTGACAGCTTCAGCTTCCTCCATCTTGACAACTTCAGCTTCCTCCAGCTTGACAACTTCAGCTTCCTCCATCTTTCTTTTCTTTTTTCTTTCAGGTCGTTGAATTTCTCGATCAGCCTCTTCCAAATCAATTTTCTTAAAAAATAAAAAATTTTCAGAATATTAAAAAAAATTTTTACATGTATGGTTTTTAAGTGCCTATTTCTGTTGAATTTAGTTGAAAAATTTTTATTACACTCTGTGCAATTAAACATATTGTCCCAATCGGAGTCTGTTTAGTATTCCGAAATTATACCAAAATGTTTAACTAAAAATTAAAAAAAAAATTTTTTTTTAATAATTGACAAAAATAAAAATAGTTAATGGCTTAAAAATTCAATAAAATTACAGTTTAAAAAAATCGCGTTGATAAAACGGTCGGTTGAGTCTTAATCCTCCCCAACCCTTCTCCCTCCTCTCATCCTAAATTTTAACCAAAGAAGAGAGAAAAGGAGAGAGAAGAGGTGGGGGAGGATCGGGAAGAGAAGAAAAAGGAGCAGGATGATGCCGCGACATTGATTTTCTCTCACTCCTATAGGTAGCGGCTTTTGAGAGGGAGGTCAGCTTTTGCCGCACTAACGTACGCTAAAGGTTTGAGCTTTGTCCAGCCGGTCAAAAGGATCTGACCTTAAGTCAAAACTAATCAAAAGGATTTGGCTTAAAAGTCAAAAAGTCGCCCGCGACATGCCCCTACCTATGACTACTCACAACAACGCCAATTATAAAGAATAATTTAATAAAATCCAATAATTAATCAAAATGCTTCACTTAATTTGCTTATTTTAAGTGTTATTTTATTTTTTAAATGTTCGTTATATTTTTTAAAAAATTATTATTTAAAACTAAGGTTTAAAATTAATTAAATTAATTAATCAGTTTTTTATGGATCATAGTCTTCATCCAGAAATAGTTTCTTTATCCAGAATTATAATAGCAGTGAATATTAAATCAAGTTTATGCAGCAACATGAATTTTAATAATAAAAATGTAACTTGTTAGAAAAATAATTAATATTTTTTAATTGTAATATGTCTTTTTTATTTCAATACCGTCTTAAGAGAATTAGTGAATTTTAGCAAAATATTAAGCAAATTATATAATAAATATTTAGTTTTATATACTACAAAATTAGCATATAATAATTTTTTGCTCTGTGCAAAGCCCTCCTCTCATTAGGGTGAATAATCTTGTATAGACAAAAAAACAAGGGATAATCTTTAAAATAATTTTTCGTAAAAAAATGAAAGAAAAGCTAATGTAATAATAATTATAATTTTCCAATTAAGTAATTTTATTTTAAAAAAGAGAATATGTATATTTTATTTTGAAAAACAATAAGAAATAATTCTATTTATTTTTTTCTCTTTTATAGTTTCATTTCCAACATACGTTTTGATTTTGGGAAAAATTTAAATTAGAGTTTGAGCATTCAACTAAATTATTTATATAAATCAATAATTAAAAATTTTTTTATTCCAGAGAGAAAATCCTGGCGACCGCCAGAGTAATGCTACGGTTACATAAAAAACGCAAGACGCCGGCGGAAGACGCTCGGCGTCAAGACGCCGGCGGAAGACGCAGTTTCGTGGTTACATAAAATCGGCGTCTTCCGCTAAGCGGGAAGACGCAAAGCGTCAAAACGCTAGTTTTATGTAACCACGAAACTGCGTCTTCCGCCGGCGTCTTGACGCCGAGCGTCTTCTGCAAAAAACTGCGTTTTTTATGTAACCACTAATTGCGTACTAAATTTGTAACAAATATTTTATTGAAATTAAATTGAACAAATAGAATTAAATCATTTTATCCTGCCATGATACCGATCCAACTTCACTGTTAAAATATTCTAATTAAAGGTCGGCGCGGGACGGGATCCCGACGGGATTTTCCGGGATCCCGATACCGAAAATCCGGATTTTTGTGATTTTCGGGATCATTCTGGATCCGGGATTTTTTCGGTATTTATCCCTAGGGATCCTGTCCCGGTATCGGTTAAGAAAAAAAATTCCGACTCGGGATCCCGGACTTTTTTTATAATTTTCGGGATTTTTAATTTTCGGGATTTTCGGAAGACTTTTGCTTAAGGATCTTCCAAATTTCTCAAAATTTTCGCCTGCGGCGCTGAAAAAGGAAGAAATCTAGTTTCTTGGCCTCCGAATTTCTCAAAATTTTCGCTTGCGGCGCTGAAAATGAAGACTTATGTGTATATCGGAGAATTTGAATGGAGTTAAGTGTATTTTAGTGATATCCGGATATTTCAAGGGATCTAAGGGAATACCGAGGAATTTGGCCTTCTCAATCAACTTAAAATCGGGGTATAGTAATTGAAAAAATATTTTCGACCCCTTATTGTTATTTTTAAATTTTTGTTTTGGGCTCATTTGAAAGCCCATAAAATGTACTACAAAATACTGTTGGTCTCCTGTTTGGAAAATTTACACTACGAGGTTGGGTGACATTAATTACCGATGAAATAAAAATGAGCCCCCCCCCCTATCTCGAAGCTGAAATTTTTCACACATATGACTGTTTCGTTTGTAGGGGTTTCTAATGAGCACAAAAAAAGCTAAAATATTTTTTTAAATATCCCCAGATTTAAAAGGATATCCCCAGATATCCTTTTAAATCTCTTAATCCCTTCAAATCCTATAATCTCCCGATATCTATTACGTAAAAATTTTTTATGTGAAAATCCCGAAATCCCACGGGATTTCGCTAAATTTTAGAAAAGGATTACGGGATTAATCCCGCGGGATCCTGTCCGTAAACAATTTTGAAGAAAATCCCGTTACTGATAAATCTCTTCATATTCAAAAAAATTTAAAAGTTTGGAACTAGAACTAACTTGGAACAAGTTCTAGAACTGGAACTAAGGAATTTTAAAAATTGAGAATTTTAAAAATTGAGTTAAAAATTTTAAAAATTGACTTTGACATCACTGATCGTCAACTTAGTATGTTTATTAGTCTCAAAAAGTCTTAAATGCCTCGATTTTTCCCAAAATCTTTTATGAATTGAATTTTCAGAATCTTTTTAAATTTTGAAAATCGCATTAGAATTGGCCGAGAAATGATCAAGACGCTAAAAGTTGCCGCAAAAAATTCAAACATGTTTGAATTAAAAAAAGAGACGCCGGCGTCAAGACGCCGGCGGAAGACGCATTTTATGTAACCACTCAAAAAAGCGGCAAGACGCTCGGCGTCAAGACGCCGGCGGAAGACGCGGGTTATGTAACCACTAAAAAAAAGCGGCAAGACGCCGGCGTCTTGACGCCGGCGGAAGACGCAGTTTATGTAACCACGCAAAAAAAGCGGCAAGACGCCGGCGTCTTTTTCTCTCCTCATTTCCCATTATCTTTTCTGCCGCAAGACGCGCGCGTTTTTTATGTAACCGTAGCATAAGAGCAAAGAATTGCCTTTTACTTATTTATTATTATTCCGTTTTTTACAGCATTTTTTTACATCATATGTAAATATGTATGTATATTCCTTTCACATAATTTTAAAGAATATAACAATAAAATTTCACATAAATTTCTCCAAAAGGCTGATTTAAATATCATTAATTTACTTTTGAATTAAATTACATTTAATAAAAATTAAATTTATTTGAATAGTTTGATGAATAGATTTTTCTTCAGAACATTTGCTGA